TAACAGAAAAAACTGAACCGAGAGGTTTCAGACTCATTAGCAGTTTTCATATTAGTTTGATGGTTTGTCACAACTCGCACATGACGGGTCGAAAATGAAGACAGATGAGACAATTTCAGGAGGCGAGGTGGACGCATGTAAGCTTCACAAAATGAGACACTGAAGCTGCAGGAAGACACAACAGCAGCAAAGCAAACACAGCAGAGAAGCACCAAAAAGTTCTTTTGAAATCATTTAATTACAACAGATAAAGAGTCAAAAATCATCCTCGTTAGTAAAAGGTGTAGAAATATACAATACAAATGTATTTGGACTAACATTAAAGAATATGTCTGCATCGTTGTGTATTTTATCAGTTAGTGTTCGTCCAGTTTGACCTACAAAAATATACATCTGAGCTGAAACAACAGCAGAGTGTTCATAAAACTGTCAGATATAAGAAGCAGTTATTTTGGTTTTACAATGGACAAAAATCTAAATCAGTATAAAACAGCGTCCTCACACCAGAGCCAATCAATCCCACTGCACTCACACTGAGGGGGCGGAGCAGAGCCAACATCGTCACCGTGAACGGAGCTCAGCTTCTACAACTATCACTTGCACCTACTTCATATATCACGTCTAAACTGAAATAAAGCAATGCTTGTGTCCTTTATTTTGCTCGGTCATTGGTCTGTAACCGCTAAAAAAATAGAAATTTAAACACCATAAAACAATAAATACAATAAAATTTCCTTCAGAAGAACTTGTTGAAACAGGAACTTCAGAAAGTGAGAATTGTTAAATAAACTTTAAACAGAAAGTAAGGAAACGCTGTTTGTTTGTTGTAACGAGGCGTCTGTTCTCACACAGCACGTCCTTCACCATGAAAACCTGCCACAGCTTCTCTGTCAGCACCAAGCAGCCTATTCTGACACTCTCACGCTGACCATGTGGTGCTGACAGTCAGGTGCAGACTGCAGCCTGAACGGGTCAAAGTGTGGAGGTGACATAACGTGACTCTCTCTCACCTGATAAGGTAAGAAAGCACCTTTGGTGGGAGATGCACTAAAGGTCCTCTGTTCAGAGTTTGGGGATGGTGAGGTTGGAATAGCCTGGCCACAGTGCTGACCTCAGTCCCATCGAACACTCCTAGGATCAGCCTGTTTGTCCCAGACTAACCAACACAATCACACCAGTTAACTTGTGACACATGCTGGTCAGAGGCCATCCAACAGCAGTGTGTGACCTGCATGAACCCAGGCTGCTGTACCTGCGTACGGTTCTTCCACAGGCCGATAAGCAGAATAAGCTGTTTGGCATCAGCAGAGAAGTCTGGCAAGTTTTTCCTGTCATTTCCTCACAAATGTGGCACATTTAAGGGGAAACAGCCGTTCCTGCCAAGCAGCACAGTTACAGCACAGAAGTGCTCACACACAAATGTGCAGACTTACTGTTTGTTTAGACGTTTGTTACAGAACTAAATTTACTTACTTTGCTTCTGATTCAGGTACCGAGTGCTTCACATTAAATAATAATGATGAACGCAGTGTGTTACATGTAAATGAGCCCATAATCTATTTACATAGAGAATTACAAGTGGACCCATGTAAGTCTGGGATAACCAAAGGTCATATGAAACAAAAGACACGTGTAACAGGAAGGCGCTGCTCGCCGCTCTGAGCTGTGCTGCTCTCTCATCTCATCAGCTTAAAGTCTCGAGGCAGCTACTGTCGCTTCATATTTGGTGCCATTTATATAAACTGATCCAATCAGCTGGCCCACAACATACAGCTGGTAGACTGAAGCAGCCTTTAGGTAAAGTGGCCCCGAAGCCAAAAGCCAGACTGCAGCGTCTAGTTTTAGTCCCACAACAACAACAGTGATGGAAATGAATAGTTTGTAAAAAAGAGCCATCATCTTTAAATCAATGGTTTTTACATGAATAACGTCACATTTTAATTAGCGGGCTGATTCAGTTGCTGTTATGTCTAACAGCAGTGCGAAACTCATCATGAATAAACGACAAACTTTGTCTCAGCAGAGTGACATCACAGGAAGTTTACACCACGCTGACGGGCTAAACCGGCTCCTAGAGTTCCTTAACGTGGAAGATGAGAAGGTCTGAGGTGAGATCGACACCAGTCTGTGGTGATGTACACACTCACTAACTTAGCAAGGACACTGCTGTGAAGCCAAACAGAAAGTTATAGAAATAATAAAGTCAGCACATAAAGAAAGCCCAGAGTTACACAGAGGGACTTTTAATCAGGGCTCATCACATGAAAGGAAGCACAGCAACTTTTTTAAGGAAGTTGAAGTGACGACGTGTATGAAGCTAAAAGGAAACCGTTTTCATTTCCTATTTCTCCCAGTGAAATACTATCGCTTACACTCAGAGTTTCAGATGTTTGAATATTTGCTCAAACACTGAATGTAGCCTGAATCTCCCAAATGTCTCGTCCTGTGCGGGTTAAACAGCTGCAGTAACGAATGTCTGTCACACACTGGCCCCGAGTAGAAACAGCAAAGGTTTCCACGCTGAGCCAATCACATCTGTGAATCTCCAAAGGAAACTTTGTCACGGGGTTATTTTACCTGGATACATCTAATTGACCTGTTAGAGTGACTTAAAGTGCACACACTAATCTCACAAAGGTTTAAAACTACTAAGATGTTGGACTTGTTTCACCGAGACAACCAAACATAGAACAAAATAAATAAAGCAATAATTTAATGACCTGTTTACATTTATACAGACAAAAGGTTAGAGTCAGGGTTAACCGTGATTGGTCAAACAGACCATTGACAGTAATGGAGCTGACACAGAGAGCGTCCTGGAGGGGTTTGAACCTCAGGTCTGAGGCAGTAACGGCGCCCCCTGCTGAAGCGCAGGCATGTTTCACTCGCTCACATCAGGAAAC